TATATATATATATATATATATATGTATGTATATATATGTATATATATGTATATATATATATATATATGCATGAGCGTATACACACTTGTCATTCTTCCAGTACGGTAAATTAGAACACATTTCAATTTTTAAAACCATATATTAAGCACTTACAATTTAAAAAAAAGCTGCCTTGATTAACGCATAAAACCTTGTTTACTTTTTATTTTTATTAAAATTGCACAGCCCTAACTAAACCAGATTCGAAGGTCTGGGGTGGTTTTAATCGATGTTGCCAGCAGTAAAATCAAATGACAAAAAATGGTTGCCCAATCTCTATCAGCCTTGAATTTTTAAACACATTTTTCTTAGCTACTATACGAGCTTAAAATTATTGACAAAGGATTGGGCAAAATTTAGAAGTGCACGTTAAAAACTCTTAAGCATTTTTTCGATTGCTTACGGTAGTAGTAGTATTCTAAGCTTAACTGTCACTATCCATCTATCGATATATACATACGTTGATCAATACATTTGTCTTTACTTCAAAAAACACAATGTCCAATAATTTGGGCAGATACTGTTTTAATATAGTAACTATTTGTTATTGTTTTTTACGATGCTCTGTTCTTTTTTAATTTTTTTATGTGTTTAATTTTACAATGTATTATTGTGCCTAGGTTAACGATGACTACTGACGATTAATACACATGTCCAAACAAAGCGGTGGCAACGCTATAAAATCGTGAGTGACAATCTGAGTGTTTAACTTTGGCCACACCGTTTCCCTTTATTGAAATTTTATAAGAAATGTTGGAGTTTGCATTGTGTTGAATTGTAAATGTTCGAAGAATTATAGATTAGGTTAAAAATTGTATGTGTATGTGGTATATATCCTGTAATATTTATCGCGAGAGATTTACGGACATATATGTATGTATTTGCTCTTGCGTGTATGCGCTCATTCCATATGTATATATGTATATATTCCAGCTTTCGGCGGAAATATGTACACATACACATATATCGATGTTCATTTGAGGATATATCGATACATATACACTCAAGTATGAATTTGTAGTGTTTTATTGTAAGCAGAAGTTGCATTCGTACTCCGTGTCATTTGTTCCAGATGCCGCTGTGAATAAGTTTATAAGTACAACAATGCATTATTAAGTGCTGAATGTTCATTTAAAACCAGAAATAATACTCAAGAACAATGCAATTATTTAGTAATGCTTATCACAATAAATATACGCACTGTAACAGTAGAAGAAGCAGCAACAAAGTATCACTAAGCACGCACCGAGTTTTATTATTGTTGGATGTGGTACCAAACTGAGTGTGAAAATCACTTATCTGTAACAAGAAGTAAAAGCCTAGAAGAGTGCTCATTTCAAAACAAAGACCAGAATTCGCTTAAAAATGTGTTTAGTTTTAATATTTTAAGCGGTCTTTGCGGACGGCAAATCAATAGAGACTCGGATCCTGAAGAGACAAAGAATTATCTGAAAATTCTTCCTGGGTTGTCAAGTATCAAGGACGTTGCCAGCTCATCTAAAAGGTTCCCTACAGATATTCCTTTAAAATACGCTCGAAAAGGCCCCTTACTGAGTAGGTCAAATATTCCAACAGCGGTTAATTATTGCAACTATCGCAATCCACGGTCTGAGTTCAGACCTGTTCATCATTCATCTCAAACACCAACGTTAACCGAATTTACAGTTGATAAAAATGATCAAAATTATCAAAATTTTAGAATTTACCTAAACAAAGAAGAACAAGGGGAACAATTTGAAAACAGATGTCAAAAATTGACTAGAGCTTCCCAAAGTGACGATAGGGAATATGCTAACCGACGCTATAAGTCATCTGTGACACGATCCTCTAAATCTCTAAGAAATCAGAGTCAGATTCTAACTAATGTCATAACGAAGTGCATTTGGCCACGAAACATTGGTTGTTCCTCGCCGCTGGAAATCAATTTATTTTGTTTAACAACACCATCGGTGCTAATTGATGCTATCACCAGACAAAAGTCTTCGTTAGAGACTAATGCTACCATTTTACGGCACGAAAGAAATGGAAGCTCGGAGCGAAAACATAAACAAAGGCAAATCTTATCATCAAATAAAAAAAGTAAATCATATGAATCTGCATTGAATCTCGAACGTGGCGAGAATGTAGACCATAGCAGCGACCGCTACATTAATTTACCGTTAGACAAGTCTTATACAAATCGCAGGCAGATAAAGCGTCAAGCTTCAATTCAAAGCCAATCATCATCAATTAATAATTTTTCAACACATAGCGATCGGTATGGTACGGCATTTGAATCCCTGGAGGACATACCTTGTCACGATTTTGAGAATACTTTAAGTCAAGGATATCAATCTCTATCGCATTCGTTGCCTGCGAGCTCAGTTCATTTAGTAATGTCATTGTCATCATACAGATCGCAACAAGCGCAGCAACCGATTAATTCTACTGACTCACAGAAAAACCTCGGAAACCTATCACACAAATTTGCTACACCAGAAACACCAGCAACAGCACTATGCTCCATGCTACAACTCGGCTGCACTCTAAATAGTATTGATATAAATAAAAGTCCACAATATGAATGTAATGGCGAAATAGTTGCTGAGGAATCAACAACAGTTGCAACAGGAATAAATAGTGGCAACAATAATAATAGCATGCACAATAGTATAAAAAGCTCGTCGGACCATTTCGATTCTAATATACAACTTAATAATAATATGGTTGGCACACAGCAACAGACTACAAAAAATAATTGTCAATTGTCGACAACGGACGCTATTAGAGATGCGAGCACCTTTACAGGTGACTTGAAGGCACCTGTCATTGATATACAAATCGGGAAGCCCGTCTCACCCGCAATGCTGACAATGACTATGTCGCAAAGCCAGTCAGCCGCCGGTGGGGTAGGGGGAAATTCCAGCGTGCAAAGAAATCTGAGTAGTTTATCACATCACTCCTGTACGGCAGTTCCATTCAATTTCAATAGTAGTTACGGATCGGCAGTAATATTTCAGGATCGTAAACAACAAGCAAAACAACAAGAGCATCTATGCAATTATATTGCTGATAGTTTGGGGCTTGATGCTTGTGGAGTCCCCAAATCTATTCAAGGTATGAGCATTGCTTTTTCAACAATTTTCGAAACCCATACCCATATACCCATTTCGAAAGCCAAAGACATATGGCTATCGACTTTTGCTTTACCACTCTCACTTAAATTTAAATTAATATTTGTAAATAGCAGCATCTAAATGTACAGAAACTTTCCGAACAATATTTATATCCAATTTTCTTTATATTTGGGTATTTTAGCAAGTTCTCTGCCGAGCGCAGTTGTCACACCGAAAGTGGAATCATCGCCAATATCGCCACGAAAAGATTTATCTTTAAATGCTGCCACTGTCGACTCACTAGCTTTGGTATCACAGCATCAGAAGTCTGTTGTACCTTCGACCAACGAACATTTCACATTTCATGAACAAATCACAATGTCGGGTCAGCAGAAGAGCGCAATGCAGGACAGGCCAAAAGCTTTGGTTGTATCGCCGCAGCAAGTTATGATCCTATATATGCATAAACTGACGCCATATGAACGAACAGAAATCTTAGCCTATCCGCAGATATATTTTATTGGCGCCAACGCGAAAAAACGCCCGGGTATTTATGGACCAAACAATTCAGATTATGACAATGAACAGGGCGCTTATATACATATTCCTCACGACCACGTTGCCTATCGCTATGAAATGTTAAAAATAATCGGCAAAGGTAGTTTTGGTCAAGTAATTAAAGCCTACGATCATAAGACCCATGAGCATGTGGCATTAAAAATAGTGCGAAACGAGAAGCGTTTTCACCGGCAGGCTCAAGAAGAGATTCGTATATTACATCATTTAAGACGCCACGACAAGTACAACACAATGAATATTATACATATGTATGATTATTTTGCGTTCCGGAATCACACATGCATCACATTCGAGTTGCTGAGCATTAATCTTTATGAATTGATTAAAAAAAACGGATTTAAGGGTTTCAGTTTGCAATTGGTGCGTAAATTTGCTCACTCTCTACTCCAATGCCTGGATGCACTTTACAAGAATGAGATCATTCATTGTGATATGAAGCCGGAGAATGTGCTCCTGAAGCAACAAGGTCGATCTGGTATTAAGGTAAAAAGTAAACTATTTTCCTTTGCTTTGCGATTAATATATGTTTTATAGGTTATCGACTTTGGATCATCATGCTTTGAAAGTCAACGTGTCTACACGTACATACAGTCAAGATTTTATCGCGCGCCAGAAGTAATTTTGGGCGCAAAATATGGTAGAGCGATTGATATGTGGTCTCTTGGTTGCATTCTTGCGGAGCTACTTTCGGGGCATGCACTATTCCCGGGAGAAAATGAAAGTGATCAGCTGGCCTGCATTATAGAAGTGCTTGGAATGCCAAGCAAAACATTATTGGCAAATGCAAAGCGAGCAAAGACATTTTTTAGTCCAAAGGGGTATCCACGTTACTGTACTGTCCGTACAATGCCTGATGGAATGGTCGTTTTAGTTGGTGGTCAGTCACGACGTGGCAAACCTCGTGGTCCACCATGCTCTAAGAGCTTGTCAAAGGCATTAGACGGTTGCAAAGACCCGCTTTTTCTAAACTTTATTCGTGGCTGTTTGGAATGGGATACAGAAAAGAGATTAACACCTTCTGAAGCCCTTAAGCATCCATGGTTGCGTCGTCGTTTGCCCAGACCACCAAGCAGCACCAGCGGTGGGGCGGGAGATGGGTCCAGCAGCGCTGGGGGCGGACACGTTGGAGGAACTGGTGGTGGAGGAAGTATTAGTGGTGACCAATCACCAGTGGCAGGTAAATTTTGAAAGTTACAGTTACTGTAATGCCTTACGTATGACATTTAATTAATGCATTAAGCATCGGCATTCAATTCCTTTGGAATTGTTTTTGGACTTTTTTTTGTGAAATTGAATTTCGCCAATTTTAGTTTAATCCAATCTGAATTTGTGGGACGTTAATCGTTAACTGTTTACTTTAAGGCATAAAAACGAGCTGTGGCAATGAAACTGTGTCAACGGAAGGATCAGCCGCTTCTGAAAGAGACAATAGCAATTGCAGTGGGCGAGCTAATCATGTTGGAATTGGCATTCCTGATTTCAAATATGGCGGCAACCATCTATCCCTTTCAGCATCATCTCCAGTTTGTGATACAGCGGTGCCTGTTGATCTATTGACCGATATTATAAGCAAAACGAGCGTAAGATGTTCAGAATTACCTTCAGATGACACATTGGATAGGCGTGGATATCCATCTTCATTATCAAATCATATATCTGCCAATAGATCTGAATGTAATGCGGAATAACATTTTTGTTACTCGGTTAAATACATAATTTACTAATGCAATGAATTTTTTCGATACAGGCTTATCTACAATCAATTCGTTAAAAGGGGCTACCAAGTCCTTGACGCGCTTGTCAGAAGCAACAGGAATCTCAACACCCAATTCTTTATATGCAAGACATACAACGCCCATCCTATCAGCTAATTCGACACTTTCTACAATTAGTTACGACATGGATTGCTATAACGTATATGATGCAAAAACAGTTGATGGGCCAACCAATTATAGGCACTCAAATGGCAATTTACTCACACACGCACAAATGTTCAAAGCACCATCAAAGAATATTTAGCAAAATATGGAATTCGGAATTATTGCCCCGCATCTATAGGGCGGTGTTTGTTTGTTGTTAGTCAATATAAAATGAACAACACACTGCCATTACAAGTGATTTTTAACAAAATCTGCTGTTTGATTTTCAATATACATATATATGTATATATATCATGATTAAAATAATAGGTAGACCCCTTAGTATTTCATTTTAAGTTAATTTAGCAATTTATAATTTACTGCTAAACATCAAAATCTGAATGCACGTTTCTTTATTAGGAATATATTATTTAAAATGAGTATGTTTGCATTTTTTTTATAGTTACAAACAAAACAAGTAAGAAGACTAGTTGAGACTGCTCGACTAGGAGATACCCTGAACCCTCCAATCTGACATTCTAATCAGTCCGCACACATATGTACATACACACGCACGTATTAGAACTACTAACTGCGCAGTAAGCAAGAACTGTGTGGGCTATTATAAGAATGTATGTACACTCCAAAGTCCAAGTCTCTAGTACTTGAAATACGGCTCTTACAAAAGTGAGGGTGAAGGGATGTATATAGGGGTGGGGGTAAATTACAACAAAAACCGAAATTTTATAAAATACATATAAGTCTACATTTAAAATTTGGAAGCTCTAGCTCTAAAGGTGTAG